GGAGCAATAAATTTTGAGAGATGCAAAAAATTAAAAGGTCTAGATCTATACTTTCAAAACAAAATGCGCCTAGCGAAATATCACACCCAGCAACAGTTGTGAAGGATAGTTACGCAGATTTGTTTCGTTTTTCAGTGAAATAATCACAAAGGCCAAAGAAGGACGGGAATTTTTGTCAAACATATTTTTCAAAATTCAGGAAATTAATAAATAAAAAATCGGGCTCCGTCATGGGGACCTATTTATCTTTTTGCAGGTACTTGCCAACTTTCAACTCCGTAGCTGTCGCAGTTTTATGGGAAAAATGACACAAGTGTTTCCAAGAGGCCAAATATAGATGTATAGATTGATTCTCTATCCCGCTTTCGTGGTTGTACACTCCAGAATTTCAAAGATGTGGGATAAGTGTGCACGGATAGTGAACGGAAACCTCACTTGTTTACAATGGCGTCTTAGAAGACGGACTTTCCCAAAATTTAGATCTAAATGAATCTAACGAAAAACTGAAATTTAAGATACAATGACTTCAGGCTCCTCAATGAACCTGTGCACCCTTCCAATGATTCTGAACCGCCATTAATTTTGTCAAATTCGAAAGTTAAGTGGTTCGGAAGTTTAAGGCAGCCAAAGTGACGAACTTTCACAAATATAATATATATAGATAGAAATACTGCCTACTGCGTCTTTTCGGTCCTGCTTTACGAAAGTTATTCATCATAGAAAGACTTGTTATACATGTACTAATTCGACTGATATAGCTAATAAGAAAACAATTTATGTACAGATTTTTTACCACACTTACCAAGTTGTGGATTTTGAAATGGCATTTATTCTTATAGTAAAATATACGCTACACTGACATTGAAGAGATATTGTATGGCTGTCGGAAGTCGGAATTTTTATGCTATCCCTGTATAACTTTACGTCAAGCGACTGAAGCCAATCTCTGGCGTGCTCCACAAGGTGACATCAATAGTTTTCACCCAGGCTAGACATTGGTGCATTGGTCCAAGCAGAGAGATGTTTAAAAGGGCAAGATCAGGACCGTGATCCAAAGCTTTTACTGGGTTCTTGGAGGTCACCAGCAGGCCAAGTTTCCATTCTGTCATGTGCATTTGCTTGCATCGTTCCAACAAACTCGTGAAAACATCAATATGATTTTGTGCCTTGCGGTCATCTGTCAACTGTTTTAAAACCCACCGAGTTGATACTTTTTTGTATACCACCTCATTAAATAAATACGTCCGTGTGATTACTGTTGACTTAAAAAGACTTTGGTATCAGCTATGTCATTTTGCGCCTTCTGTCAAGTAGAATGCATTTTCTGTGTTTTCAGCATTTTCTGTGTTGGCAGACAGATCATGGCCTTCAATGGGCTCAGTGTTAAAATTTTGAAATATCTCTTTAAGCAAATTGCACCAATGGTAGACCTTTGAATTACGTAAAACATATTATCCCCATAGACACTTTTAAGTTCTGCCTACGGATGTCTGTGTTGCAGTGATTAGGCACTTAGAATTCGCACAAAGGAGACCCGAGCTTGATTGCCGAGTTGATTGGATTTTTTATCAAGTATCTTGGTCTTTCTGCTGGGATACCTCATCCCCCTAAATACGGGTTGGCCCTGAAAGGCAAGGCCTCAAAACTGCTCACTTAATAAGCTAAATTGTGTTGATGGTGGCGTAAAACTACAAACTTTAAAATTTAATTTTTTTTTTAGTTCTGTCCGAATTTCTGTGGGATTGTTCCCCTTGTGTGAAGAAACCGAAAACACCACTGATCTCTTCTTTTGACCAATTTTGTAGAGTGGTTGCCATTTTTGTTGCGATGTTATAAATAGCTGAATTCATTTTGTTCATTTTACTGATGCACCCATATCGAATATTCCATGGACTGCAAAAGGCTGTTTACAGAATTGAAAAATATGAGATAGTTATTTGACTAAGGAAGCTAAAGTATTTTAAAGTTGATGAAACATTGATGTCCATATTCTACCATTCAACCATAGAAAGTATGATCAATTTTTGTATAACAGTATGGGCCGGGAACACAAGACAACAAGATAAAGAAAAATGAAATCGACTAATTCGGAAAGCATGTAAAATTTCAACATTTACATTCCCCTACTTGGATGAATTGTACAAAACAGCTTGCACAAAAAAAAAATACTTCCATCTTTTAAGACAACAAACATCCCTTGTTCCCTCAAATAAAAACATCAGTCAGAAGTAAAAGGCCTAGGCTTCTGATCTGTAACAAGGAAAGATATTATAGAAGGTCATTTTTACCATCGTCTATCAAAATGCTTCCATCTTAACCATCTTGAGTAAGTATACTTACGACCTTGGAGCATGCATCAGAATAATATTGAGTGTTTATCTAGCTTACGATTATTATTGTTTATATTGCTGCTCATTTATATTATGCATGTGATTGTAAGTCTACGTGTGTGTGCATGTGTGTGCGCGTGTGTGCGTGTGTGTGTATGTGTGTATATATA